TGCAGCCAAGGGGAAAGAGAGAAGGCAGGAGAGACGTGGGAGAGGGCTCTTCTGGGGTGAGACAAGCTCCAGCCAAGTGGAAGGACAGGATGGGAGTCGGGGGCCTCAAGTTTAAGACGAGAGAATGTGCAGCTCGCAGCTGTTGCTTTTCCTCCCTACTCAACGACTTGGCCGCCTGAAGTTTTCCATCATCTGCTCCAGGGCTGCAGCTTGGGGACAGCAGACTCTCCCATTTGCTGCAGTCTCCAGGGGCCTATGGAGAGGCAGTAGGTGGGGGCCAGGGTGCGGCCATGACGGCAGGGGTGGGGTTCTTTCTTTGGGAGAAGCATGCTTGTATCTCTTCTGACCTGGGGCCCAGCATTTGCATCAAGCCTCCTTGATAGATTGTGGGTAGGGGTTTGGCTTCCTGAAGAGTACCAAGAAGTCTACACTAAGCTTTAAAACTATTCTTATAAACACCAAATCCTTTTAAGAGGAAAAATAATCAGCAGAAGAAGCCTGGGAGGAAAAAAAAAAAAAAAAAGATGCGCCACCCTGCTTTCAGCTTATATTAAAACTTTATCCTAACAAAAATCCCAAATCACTTATGTAACTCCGTGACAGAAACAAGGGAAACAGAAACGGGAAATACAGAGTGGCGCCATTTTGAAATGAGACTTCAATTCGCTGTGGGAGTTAACAGGAGACTCATCTTCATTCTCACACAGAAGCTTCTGCCTGGAACTTTGCACACTTCTATTAGAATCTGGATTAGACACAACTGGTGTGATCATGGGCTTCTGCTGCGGTCCAACTCCCACCTTTCTTCCTCTTGGTCGAACACCCACAGTGTCTGTGTATCCCGAGGCCAGAGGCAGACCCGGTGGCTCTGTGGAGGGCAGGTTTTCCTGTAGCTCTCGCTGGTTCCCATCATGCCACACATTCAGCGTCTGCTCTTGGGAGCCGGGCCGCCAACCGTCTCTGCGGTCCCAGGATCCCCGTGGCCAGCCCTTAAAACAGTGCTTTGCAAACTTGCAGATGAAAGCAAATTTCTGATCCAGCAGGGGCTGAGCCCTTCTAGCAAGCTCCACAGGAATGCTATGGGGCCTCACTCCTGCCAGGAGTGTTTAGGGGGGCTCCTGCGAAGGAGGGGCAGGGCAGAAGGGGCAGAGACCCGTGACCATGAGCACTACATTTAATTGCTCTCAGAGTTTCACTAATTTTGAGTCAAAGTAATTTCAAGGACTCCGTATTAACTACAGAGATGTCATAAAATGGATAAAAGGGTGACCACCCCTCTGGGAGAAGAGGAAGGGGAGCTCAAGTACAGTTAAGAGTTAGGGCATGAAGCATGAACTAGACCCTAATTTTTTATGTACCCCAAGAAGTTGATATTGTACAGTTCACGCAGGGAAGGGAATCTTAAAGGAGTCCTCCCTGGTAAAGGGAACTGAACCCAGGGCCTTTGCACTGAGCTACATCCCAACTCACTCTCTCTCTCTCTCTCTCTCTCTCTCTCTCTCTCTCTCTCTCTCTC